GGGACAACACAAAAAAGAAATTCGGTAACTTGCTTAGGATGTCACACAGTGGATTTGAGCTGGAAACATTCTACTAACGAGTCTTTTTTTTTTACCCAACAGATCACCTGGCTTCTTAAGCGACCCATTTCTATGTAGTTTCAGAACACCAAAGCACAACAGTCTTTTAGTTTAAAATTTATGGCTTGTACACGGATATGGAAGGGAAAATAGGTTAAGATCAACGCTGTGGACAAAAAAAAAGGCTCTTTCTGTCCTCTGATCTTATCATGAAAATGCTGTTCCTTAAAGCGTTGCTTATACTGCTATCTTTCCCCTGATACCCGAGTCAACTCTTGCACAGAGAAAAGGGCAGATCTGTCTCATCCCTTAAAGCCAATGAGAGAATATGAAAAAGAAATTGCTCAACAGGAAGGAACAAGTATATGTCGGATTACTGCCAGAGGGAAGCTGCTTTGCCGATCAATTTTAACAAGTTTATCCAGAGCTGTATATGTTGCTGAAGTTGGTACAACAAACTGCAAAAAATAGAATTTGAGATGCCAGAGGTGCTAGTTAGCGAGCTTATAATAATCTGATCACCCAAGTTACTGACTGGGGACTTTTTAGATCATATCAGTTTGCAGAGCTCTGTGAAGGTGCATTCAGAACATTCTGAGCACAGACCATCACTGAGGAAACCAGAAAATGTGTTTTTCTGCAAAAAACACTTTCTACAGTGTGGCTTTTGTTATGGCTTGGGTTCACAGTAGCCTCTACATCAGGATATCTCGAATACCATGATGTTCTAGGATTAAGTTTTTTAATGGGTTCTTATACTCCTGTTTATTCAATGTTCTGTCTAATTCAATGTGATATGTTTTTTGTTTACACATATAAAAGACTTGAGAGGTACACGAAAAACAAAATTCACTCCATTTGCTGGATTATTTTTTTACAGATTCCTCTTTCATTGCTGGTAATAGATGACAGTTAGCACAAGCTAGCTAAGAAAGAGAATGCTGGAATACAAAACTGTTAAAACCTTGTCTAAAAAATGTTGACAGCTACTCTCTTCTTAAATAGTGCCAACTCAGAATATATTTACATAATAATGATACAAAAACAAAAAAGGTGAATATATGCAATGCAGGCTCAGACTAAGATGCACCTCAGTCACAATAATTATAATAATAAAAAAAAGATTTTACTTTTTCTTGTATACTACAAACTTCTGCTTCCTAATCAGAATGAATTTGAAATTGAACCGAAACTGCCAGGTCCCATGCACACGTTCGTCAATGAAGCTTAGGATAAAGCAAGCCAAAGCAACACGGACACAAAATGCAAGTAGAAAAGAGTGATTGAAGCTTTTACAACTCGTAGAAATATATATTTTTAAACTTGATGAGCAAGGGTTCTCCCCGCTGATAAAACTCAAACCTGTGTTATCCATCAGCACTTTCACTGATGTCACTGAGAAGGCTCCCCTGGCTGAGGATAGACCGTCAAGCCCCAGATACTTTGATACTAACCTGTATAGATGGCCAGCTTCCTCTCAATTTGTAAGCCGTGTCTAGCCCAAAGTAATACAGAGCAACAGGCTCTATGGGTTGAAACAAGCCTATGAAAGCTTGTTCTGTATTCTGTATGTAAACTGGCAGCAGGGAGAGAGGGCAGCAAGTCCTCAGGCTGTTTATTACTCCCAGATCGTGGCATCCTAAGAAGTGGCCAACTGTGGAAATTGACGGGGCAGTCTCTGTTGCAATCTGGTTCCTCTCAAATATCGAGAAAGGTAGCTAAGCCCTGCACAGTGCAAGCGGTACCATTCCCTTTCCTGCCAGGGTGTATGAGAATCTGACCTTGTACTCTCTAGCCTGATGTGTAGCAGAATACAGAAAAGCTCTGCGTGCATTAATGCAAGAAGGTTGGCACTCGTAGCCAATTGGTGCACTGACCCGCTGTCACACCCACCCCCCCACAAAAACACCCCATAAAACCAAACAATAAATTCTATAAAGGGCTTGTATACTTAAAGTAAGGCTCTGTTGATATTAAGTTCTTTTAAAGAGAAAAGGGTAATAAGAAAGGCCTCACAACAATAACAGTAGACATTATGGATTCTTAAGATCAATGGATGCAGCCATCCAATTCAGAAATTATCGCTAGGGAATGAACAAGCGGTGCTACACAAATGTATAATTGATTAGCTAGGGGCTGCCTTTGAGCAGCAGCTGAAGTTGTAGTGATTAATTTACTCTCCCCTCATATGGAGAGTTATGTATTTTATGAAGATAGTGTAGACAGGTCTCAAATCTATGGTCTTAAACTCTGTACACCCCCTTCTTTGTTCCTAAGTGCTACTGTGCATTAAATGGTTTTCTAGTGATTAACAAATTCTGCATTTCAAGTGAAGATTTGCAGCAGGAAGGGCTGTATTAGTTGGAAATGTTAATCCATGTAATTTGCTCTTTGAGGCAAGAAGTAAGCCCATATAGTCAGGGAAGTCTTAAAGAAGAAGATAAAATAGCAATTTATAATTGGATGAGGGAGGTTACCTTATGACCAGTTCTGAAAAAGACGCATAACTAGACTTAAGGAGGCTGAACTTAAAGATAAGGAATGGTTTCCTTTGCTGTAGCATGTAATGTAAGTATCAAAATGAAACGAATTGGTAACAAACACAGTTCTAACTAAACTACCCTCACCATTCATTTCTGATCAGTATCTTACCACTTCCTGTAATACAAAGAGCCCCCTTATGATATGGACATCCAGCATACTGGTTATTTACCAGTGTATGCTTTCTCATAAGTCTTGCTCACACAATCATTCTCTCAAGCCGGCATCACACTATATGACATTTCCTAGGATTTTCAATAGTAGCATATATTTACAAAATCATAAGAAAATCACAGCGAGTTGCAGAGCGCACCCGTTAATGTCAACTGTGTAGTGTGACTGTCACGGACGTCCAAAGGGACTAACCGTGGGGAGCAGGAGAGCGGAAAAAGACCCATATGCGTAGCGGCGAGACGGGAAAAAGGCCCGGGCTCATTAGTGCAAAGCAGAGAAACCTATGCCCTCAGGGAACGGACGTGGGGCGCCCTGGTGCTAGGCGGGTCTCAGGACATCTGAACGTCAATGCTGAGCGAGGACAGAGTGCAAGACCGGGAAATATATAGCCCAGGGGAAAGAGAGGGACCGGGAGGACAGCAGACCAGAAACTAGGGACAGGACAGAGAAGGAGTGCCCTCTGGCTACAGAGGGCGTGACAGTGACATCCCCAGCGACTCAGTCATAGCGCTCCTAACAGCCCCTATGACTCTCTGCGACTTGCTATGACAAAATCAAACTGGTTTGCTTTTCTCGTAGCGAGTCTCAAGTCATAGGGGTGGGCAGTGAGCCAGATGTGTACTTGTGAGATAATGTGCCCATTATACTATACATTATAGTGCAATACTAATTTGTTTACAATATTTGTCTTAAAGGTATTTTATATTTTTTACTTTTATTTTTGTATATGTGGGCAATATTCATAAAGAATAATTATATTTTTGAAGATGTTTATTTTTGGAAAACAATGCCTGTGTTACATATTTCAAGATGTTTATGTGCTTGATCTCCATGTTGTCCGTTTACTCTCGTGTGGTGCTCCTCATGAGGCGACCTTGTGGTACTTTTGCGGCGCAATACAAGATTTGGAACCGTGATGTCATGAGGGAAATGTGTAATTAGTCATCCCCTGCGATTCCTAGTCGTATATTTTGACACCCTCTAGGAAAGAAAAGGCAGCAAGATTCAGCAACGACACCGTTAAATCTGACATGCTCTCTGACTAGAAGTCGTGTCGAGTCATGTAGTGTGACACCGGCTTAAAGTTTAGAGGTTGTCCTCTCCAATTCACCCTTAGGTATTCTTCATTCTTACTGTAATCTTATGACTCCTTCTAAAGTTACGGATATCCTTTTGAAGATGTTGAAATCATTGGACATTGTTATGTACTGTATATTTCATTAAAATGTACTTATTTCCGACAGCCCTCAAGATCTAAGTGAATCTTTCCGGCAGCCCATATATTGTATTAACCAAGTCCTGTGTTCGTGCAGTTGACACCATACTGCTGATGAAGTTCACCTCGAAACAAAATTTCAACCCCAACAAAACAAAAGCTGCTGTCAGAAGTCACTGGCTGGATATGACAAGGGTTGCCCATGTTGAACAAGAGTGCTCTACATCAAGAAAAGGGGGGTGGGGATGAAGCAGATCAACCCCAGTGGCTGTTTCCAGAACACCATTCACACAATTTACCACAAAAGGTCTTTAAAATTATCTATTGGACATACTAGGATTCACAGCAATCTACCAGCAAACAGGATGCATCAAGCTGCCAATTAAAAAGTGAAATGCTTAATAAAGTATGACCTCCGTTTTTGTGGTTTTACGCAAAGCCAATTACTCAATAATTCAAAGACTAATTTAACCTTAAATAAGGCTGGTCTCAAGAGAGGAAATGAGTGGCAGATACACACAGTACAGTGAATTGAGAAGAGTAAATTTGTAGTTTTTGAATCAATCGTTGCTGTTACACATGAATTGTAAAAAACAAAAATGGATTTGTGGAGCAGGGAAGAAAAAAAAAGAATGTTCACCTGATAAACAGTTTACCCTAGAAGAGGACACAGTCATTGCTTGGTATTCTGCTGTGGGACTCGGGAGGCAGGAGATGTGATTGATATTTATTTTTCATGCTAATGTAGCATTTGGAAATGTAGAACAAGATACAATTTGCATACTTCGGGCTCCCTTTCCGTTTTTCAAAAAGCATAAATCCTGTTCTTCTCGAGATCCTGCAAGGCTAGCTAACGGGGCTTATTCATAAAAAAGGCACATACAACTGCTGTTTTTTTTTTTTCTCTGACGTTCCTTTCCAACCATATGCCCTCATAATGGATGACATTAATTAAGCCAACATATTTCAGTTAAAGGGAAAAAAATCACATATATACACATTAACTGACCTCAGACACATTGACTCGTCCCTCCTGGAAAGAGCAATCTGCAGCATTGTGGGTACACATGTGGCGATACTTGCACCAGTGACAGGGAAAGGAACCATTAACGCAGGAGAGGCAGCTAAAAAGAAGAAAACAAGAAAAACAGTAAACAGGTGTACATACAGTAAATAGCCACAAAATGCACATTGGGAAATTCACCAGGGTGTTCAGCAATATAAATGTTTGGCCAAGATGTTTAGTATATCTTCTGTATAAAAATACATGCTGTATCTTGAATAAGAGACATGGAATCGTGTGACCACTTGGTGATGAACCTTGCATACCCCCAGTTCTTGAAAATCATATTGCTTATGCTTTCTTAAAAATTAAAACTGCACACTTCATCTTTTTCATCCCAAAGGATTACAAAGTGATTCACAAATAGGAGGGGACCCACTACATCCACCAATGAAGAGCAGTGACTATGCTCCAGCAGTCCTACAGTATAGTAGATCAGTTGGAGAAGTGAGACTTTTCTACATCAAATGACGGGGAATCTCAGGCCAGGCTGGACTAACCTAGAGCAGAATTTATCCAGGACAGCAGGGTTAACACTGCTCTCCTTATCGAAGGTGTCATGTAAATTTTAACAACCGAGGAAATTGTCAACCAAATACAAAATAGTCAGCTTAACAGTACATTAAGAAGCAACTTGTACTCCTTAGCAGTCTCCCATTCTAGTGCTGACTAGGCTAGCTTCTGAAATCTGACAAGACCAGGCTACAAGGTGGTAATGCTGCTGCCAACATCTGAAGATAAAGGCTTGTCAAGATGTGAACGAGGCAAGTACAAATTACTGGCATGTTGTTTAAACATTGGCAGCAACCTGGTGAAATGTTACAAAACTCCCTAATTTTCCACCATCCTCCTATTTTCTTTCAACTCTCTTTATATCTCACCTGCAGCCAATTATCAAATATCAACTAACATATGTTAACACATACAATCATAAGAAAAGAACAAGTCCAGGGTCAGAACACACGGTGGTATTTTGCTTTCAATATCAGCCAAGTTTGCTGGCAGGAATGACAAGGCCCAGCCTTGCTTCTTCCCATGATCTGCTGGTTAAGCTACAAGGTGGTAATGCTGCTGTCAGAAGATCTTTCTTACAATGCGCATAAAGCACTCCATGATCTTAGCCCAAGGTAGATTCTAACACTCCACACCACTTGACACCAATTAAGGTCCTGAACTACAAATTGACTGGCCATGCATATAACTAGGACTATCACCACAGCTGTCATGCCTACCATCACTCAGCTACCTCCTTGTAGGATTTTGAATTCAGGGACAGATAGGGAGGATACAACACAATAAACTCAAAATTCAGCAAATGTGTTCTGTTTAAACCGCAGCAAAATTCCACCATCTTTGGTTTCCCTCCGATTAATATTTTGAAAAGTGTCTGGAGATTCTTCAGCACAATATGACTTCTTAGCTGCTGTTTCCATTGTATGAAATCATGGTGGTGGGAGATAAAACTGTATATTTCTAAACTGGCTTGCCAAACCAAAGATGTATGCTATGCCTTATATCTTGCACTTGCACTATTTGTGGTTCACTGTGTAAATTATGGCATTATGTTTAAGCTAGTTCTCACATTTCTTCAAGCTAATCAATATTTTACTACAGTTCTACACCTTGGCTGCAAGTTAAATTACACATAATGTAGTTGTGTTATTAACTGTCACTCACTCTGAATAAAAGCATCACCCATATGAAATAGCAGTAAACGAAAAGATTCGTTTAACAGCACATGTTCAGGTTTATAGATAATGCATAGTTCTATTTCTTTTTAATGCTGGTCTCCGTTTATACAGCTAGGCGTACTGGAGAAATGGGGGGAAAAGTAACAGGAACTTGAACCCACAACCCACTAGTTAGAAATCCCGACACTTATATAGGAAAGCATGTGATAAAAGAAAATTGAATGGGAGAAAAAAAAGCATTTATGATTTTTTCATGCTCCTCAGATCTGTCATTTATTAGCACTCAGTGAGCTTCAAGTGGCAGACTCCACAGTAGTGTTTAATTTACTTCCCATTTACATTCAGTTACTGTGTACTGACACAGGGACAGAAAGGCCGTCGACTTAATTTATAGCTTCATAGTTAGCGCTGCATCATTTGAAAGCCTTTGGCCCTCTGTGCAGCTAGGGGAAACAGTCACTCAGTTATCGATGACCGCTCTTCAAAACAAGATTTAGATCAGATAGGTGAAGTAGCCTTGGGACGTCTTATTCCACCTATAAGCAGGGCTAGAACTGAGGGGAAGTGCTATTTGTATTGTAACAAGACATGTTTGCCTACTTAAAAGAAATATAAAGATCTGCTCACCTAGTTTCCCAGAAACCCCTTTCTCCTGACAATAAGGACTAAGGGACTAAGAGACTAAGCATTCCACTACACTTTTTTTCTATGGCAAATCTTGAATCTCCCCACATTTCTAGGTTATGAATCTGGCTTTACCACACCCTGGCAATAATTCCCTTGCTTACCGTTTGATACTGCAATTACTGCCTTCATTTGCCTCCATAGAGAAGAGTAGCTATCTCTCAAAATCACAAAGTGGTTGATTCATACACCAATTTGGCACTGTTCTATTACAACAAAGTTAACACTGAATCTGGGCTACAAGATTTAAAAATGACAAAAACAATATATTCACATCATGACCAGGTAAATTCCACTGTGTATAAGGAAGATGTCATGTCTACATTCTATAACGAACTCCATATTAGTAAAGGATGGAACACACACAACAAATTGGACAATTAGGAAATGCCACACAAAGACATTTACTAATGTCTTTACTAATTTACATAATCATCTCAACAATCCCAAATATCACCCCTCCCCTTGTCTGTAAAAGAAAAGTCTAAGAAATAGTTCTGCCTCATGCTAAACCTCAACAGGAGTACAGTATATCATAATGTCAAAAATGGAAAAAAAAATGTGTACAGTACAGTACATAACATAGAAGTGACTGAAGATTCATTTCAGGCCCACTGGCTGGACCTGTCACCTCAGCCAGATAAATGTTCAGTCAGCAAAGAGGAAACATCAATCAACATGGGGGAAAATAAGTGGCAGGAGATCAACTCCAGGAAGAAAAATGGTAGTGGACACAGTGGGAAGACGTAGAGGCAGAATAGATCAAAAAGTTGTTTTTTTCCTCACCGGGGGGTTTATACTGTATATTCATAGCTGGAGAGTACAAGCAGGAGTGGGAATGAGATTTTGGCAGTCACATTTGGAAACCCAAGAACATGATGACTGTGTTGAACTGAGAGTGTCCATGGGAAGGTACAGTACAGTATGTTCTTGTTCTATATAGTGACTGATGCCTCATTGATTCCACCTCACCCTTGCATAACTATGGCTTTGCAACAGTCCTGACAATAAGACAGGTCTCTGATGACTAAACTCAAATGCTCAAATGAAAATTCAGTTCAAGCATAAAGAATAAAACTACAAAAAAGGCCCTTGGCTCTCTAAGGAATAAGTTACGAAACATACCGTGGCTTAGAGAAAATGTCCCAGGAAGAAATAAGTAGTGTTGTTCTATTTATCATTATCATCTTCTCAGTGAACTGTCAATGTCCCACTGGTCTCCCCTACTGTCAAATTATTTTTTTTTGCCACCAGCTAAATAAAATGTTCTGTTGCTGTAAATGGGAATTGAGATGGCAGAACCCTGCAGATATCAATAACAAAGAAAGACTTGATTTCACATTTTCTGCAGAACTGGAATTCAGTGTAAACATACTCCACACCTTTTATAGATGGAAGTCTGACTTATTTTATACAATTTGCTAATCCAAAATGTGTCTTTTTCCTGACGAATGTACCAAGTATATTTGATTCTTTACAGATAGATTAAAAAAAGACCCCATACTACGATTATTGAAAATCAGGCTACCACTCAAGATGTCAAAATGACAAAAAATAATATCTTCATTACATTCACAATGGAAAAGGAAGATGTCATGGCTACATTCTATAATGTACTCCATATGGATAAATGATGGAACAAACACTTTGTGTAACACCAATATCGCTGCCAAAGCAAAACACTTTGATAATTTTTAGAATTAAAATTTGCTAAGAATAACCAATTCTTGAAGAAAGAATTGTACTTAAAGTAAATCATAGTTTTTGCTGGTCTCTTAAAATAAGCAATGGAAAAAGGAAAACTTTTAACAGACAAGACAGGACTGTCAGAATTACGCACTTTAAGGGCCTGAAAAAAGTACTCTTTTTAAGTTCAAAGGATACTTGACTTAATTCTAAGATGACATGATGAAAGTATAAAATATTTAAAACATCAGATTAAAAGAATATCAAATTGCCAGGGTTTTAAACTTTAAAGCTTAGAATACATAATTACTTGTTCAAATTCACCAGACCTCATAAAGCAACAACTGGCCATGTAGCGTTGTGGTTGTACTGATTTGAAGTCAGCCAGGTTTTCGGCAACACAAAAGCAAAGCCTTTCATGCATCTCTGGACTTACAGTGGTATCGCAGAGAGCTGTGTCAAGTGCTCCATGATGCCTCAGCCCTGCTGTTGGCATGGGTGGTTTGAAATTTATCGAGCAGCAGGTAGCCTGACAGTGTCCATTTTGGAAGAAGTATGTGTGTTTTCTTCTGAATCCAGCTCTAGAATGAGAGCTGTCGTGAAAGTACTTACAAAATAAAGAAAAATACTGACCTATGAAAACCTTTCCTGGGCACTTGAAAGCTGGTTTCCACAGGGAATTTTGTACAAAAGCCAATGAAAACACGATTAACAAATATTACAAGCATTTTCTCTGAAGCCGCTCTGTTGCTTTATGGGAAGAAATGGAGGCATTATAGTTCTATATCTTTTTAATGTGGGTGTCCCACTGGTTTTCTCCACTAAGAAGCTATTCTGTACAGTGAATAAGGAACCTTTTTTACAGCTTAAAATGGCATTAATTTAATCCTTTCATATTAAAATTTTCATTGTGCTGCAGTTGAAAAAACTAACCTTTGAATACTATGGCGACATTATTCCATCACAATGGTATACATTTATTCTCACACTTATTCAAAAATGCATTCACTGTCATGTGCTTGATTAAGCTTTTCAGCTTTTATTTCCAACGTATTTGATGTCAAATGAAGAAATTAAATTAATGCTGCAAATTGCCTTCATGTAGGGGGGACCCCAATGAGCATCTTTATTATATAAAACTTGACTCACTTGACACTGAAAAGCAACAAAAGAACAGTCATAATCAAAGTCAAAGATCATCTCCCAACACAATGGAAATAAGCTATTTTGCTGACCCACTGGATTTGGGGTTGTGATGAACTGGCAAATACAATAAGTAATTTGTCTGCTATGTAAACTCAGGATTCCTTGTCTCTTAGACAGCTCAGCTGCATATCAAATGCTCAGCTTCTTTAGCCATCTGTTAAAGCCTTCTTTAGACCTCACAGGCCTCAGTCCACCCACTGCGTTGTTTTAAAGCTTCATTTCAGCTCTGCCCCACCTAAGACACGTACGAAACGTTTACTCATATAGCACCATTCAAATGAAAAAGGGAAACCAATACAGACTCTTAAAGGAGCAGAAAAGCCCACGTTGGACTTTACAAGCCACAGGCTCTTTAACAAATTGAACTCATGAAACGGAAAACCTACACATTCAAGTCCCAAGTCCCATTTCAACACTGCATGTACACAACAACAAATCTACCCAAAATGGGCCAGCAAACAAGCACAGAGTGCAGAACAAAAGCCTGCAGCTTTTAAAAAATGGGTTAAACTCTACCGAGAGAAAAAAGGGGGGGGGGGATCCACACAGGATTTTAAATGACAGGAATATATGCATAGAAATGCTCCTTTTATAATGTGGTGTCATGATAGGAAGTGCTTCCTCATATACTTGTCCAGCAGTTATAATGTCTTCCAATTTTTGTTTCAAGAGACCTCTATTATATTGGGTAATTTTGAGAGGTTTTATCCACTCTATCAATTAGCTATGTTTTTCCAAGCTCCATAGCACATTTAGCTATGTTGCTCCAATTAAAAAATTCTCTACTACAAAATAAAAGAAAGAAGGAAGTTTTTAGATGACACTATGACGCTTTTTCCTATGACTAATGTAATATAGGTTATTTCTACAGTTATAGATTAGTATACATATATGAATCAAGTTAAGAACAAACTGTTATAAGTTCACTTTCCTGCATGTCTTAACAGAAAAACACCTAAGGCAGGGTATTTTTCTGACTCCAAGTGCTGAGCACAGAAAACAGTTCAGACAGTTCAGAGTCTGAACTGGTAGTTACATGAAGGGTACATTTTTCAAAGCATTTTAGAGCTTTTACCATTTTAGAGTTGTACCAAAACTCAAAAGAGGCACCGTTTTCCAGAGGAATGGATATGGAAATCAGCGCTTTAAGCGTCTCGTTTCATGATACTGCATTCAAAATCACTGAAATCTAAGAATTACCTTACAGTTACAAATTGTGTTACCATGTTTAAATGGGCAACCACTCACTCACATCACAGCATAAAACAAGGGGAAACAGGAAATTTCCCAGTTTCTTCCCTTTTTAAAACAAATAAAAAAATACCTTTTTTGTTCTACTATGATCCAATGTATGCACAGAATTACTCAAAACTTAAATGTCACATTATACTTGTCATACATATTAGCCTCATGATCACTGCAGTTCCAACACTTTCGGAAGCAATGTACTTGCATAAGTTTAGAACTCAGCAGGGTACAAACAATGGAACAAATATGCCAACATGTAGGAAGAAATGGTGATGCATAATGTACAGTCTTTCAAAACCCTGCTATGCACTGTTTAACCACACAATCTAAAGCACCCAATTTATTGTTTCTGAATATAATTTTAATTGATTTACATCATAGTTACATTTATACTGGGATTGCTTTTTAAACAATGAAGAATATAACTGCAACACTTTCATTACAGTGGCTTTAAATCTCAACATTTAACACCTGGTGAGTAAAAATAATTTGGTAGTAAATACCAACTGGTATCTCCAGCAATGTCTGCAACTGACTTAATGACATCCCTCTCTTACCCAGGCTAGAGTACGTCTGTATACAGCAGTATGAAAAACAAATGTGGAAACCATTAATTATAGACCTCCTTACTTAAGGAATTCAAGAATTTCATCCCAGAGAAAAAAAATACTGCTGATGAGCACTACAAGATGAGAGATAGAGAAAGATATACTGTATGACCTTTAGCATTTAGTATTTATGTAATCAAGCAAAGTGCTTGATCTATACTTTGATTTATAGGGTTAAAAAGATTACTATGGGGCAGGAAATGGAGCATTTTTATCTTCACATGGTGTTTATTAACTAAAACCCGTTCAAGGCTTTCAAACTAAACATTGCATTCAAAGCTAAACATGCTATGGTTTGTGTTATGTAAAATACCCTCCCATTGTTGAAGTTAAGACTTTCAATGGTGTTTAAAAAAAGTGTCATTCATTAACTGCATTTTTAAAGTAATTCATTAGTTTTGAGACCTGATTTTCTCTGTTGGCTTTCAGAACCAAAACCATCTTCTTTGAATCATCCTGGTCTTAACTTCCTAAGAAAAGGGGACCCCAGTACCTCAATAAACCATCATAGAGAAAGCTCAGGAAAAAACAAACACAGAAATATTTAATTAAGGTGTAATTATAGCTCCAAGTGATTTTCTCCATTTTATTTTCCCTTGTTTTTGCTAAGTGGGACAGCAGTTAACTCAGCAAAGATAGATGTTAATTAGCAAGTTATTACTATGCAAATGTATGCCATTTTAAACAGCTGAAAAAGGGGGTACGGAGATATTCTTTCTTCTGCAGCACAGCTGGAGGACAATCAAACCTAAACTGAGTTAATGTGGGATGACATTTTCAGAGGATAAGAGAGAGGTGGAGTGGTACAGTGGCAATCTTCCCTTTGAATCTCTAGGTATGAATGTAGAACAGTTCATATTTTACAATTACTCAGACAGGCCTCTGGGTAGATATTCAGTATACACTTGGCGAAAAACGGCAATTTGGAAAAACATATTTATTAGAAGTAATGAATGGCCTGATGCCTTCACATGAAACCGTTGTGAGTCCCAGTCTGGGGAAACTTGAATTCATCAGAAAACACTATCTCTCTCTCATACTGAAGAAGACCTTCAGATAACAACACTATCACAAAGACACTGAGCTACAGATAGGGCTCTGACCCTACTTGGACCTAATGGGAAATTCAATAGCTATAAAGTCATTGATTCGGGGCGACTTAGGCCCCAAGGTCTGCAAAAACTTTTGACGCAGAACCAAGGTGCTAACTCAATTGTGTCAAGCCCTCCAATGTGGCAACAAGCTAGTGATGTGATTTTCAACAGTGTTAGCACCAGACAGCGACTGATTCAATATATAGCCTCCATCATAGCAAAGGGAAACTATATTTATGGTGTGCTTACATCACGTCCTTACTTACCTGGACTGCTTAAACTCAAAATGTGTAATCATAAAGAAGCACACATTCTCTGATATTTGCTATTTGGTTCTAGGCACTCTGCTAAAAAAAAATGTCAGTATAAGAGATTCCTTTGATCATGTGTACACCTTCTATGGCTCTATACAATTAGGATATGTTGCAGTTCAAGTTTTCACTTGAACTGCAACATCCTAAACTACGCACTTCTTTGAATTCACACTGTAAAAAGTGTGAATTGCCAAAAACCCACTTGTTGTTTTCAAACTTCTACACCCTTGAGAACTGCGCCATTTACAAGTGAGCAGCACACCTCCCTCGCCAGTATGGTTGGTTTTTAAAATAGAAAAGTGGTGTGAACAATATTCATTGAATACGGCATCACAACATTAAGCATAAATTAAATTATAAATCGAAAATTCCATTTAGTGATGGACACATTTTTTGTAGGCAGGCAATACAAATAACAGAGGAAAAAAACGCCTTTGGATGCAAGGGGATTTCAAATTGACCACAACGCCCTCTAAGGCACTGGAAATTAAGTAATTACTAAATCTGTTTTAAGCAGATAATTGTTGAATATCATCAGTTTACTCCTGCCTAATGGGCATCTTGCGAAACCTGAACTGTCTGACGTGCCCCGATATTCTAGGGAGCAATGTTGAGATGCATGAAATCATACAGCTAGTAGCGAGCTGCTTTTAAAAAGAAATTATACACAGCCTGTAAAAATAAGACACAAACACAAGCACTACACAGTTCAAGATTAATCAGGTTTCAATGTGACAAGACAACTTCGCCGGTTCCACATCAATGCCATTAGACAGGAGCTGCTTCCTTTATCTGCCAAGATGAAAGCAAGATCCCCAAACACTAAACTGTACATTTTTTCATCCTCTAAGCTGGAGATAGTGCTATGAGTCATACAATATTTATTTAGATGTGCAATGAGTGAATATCAGGTTCCTGTAGCTAGCACTCCTATGTCTTCGCAACTGAGGAACCAGTGGTAAGACTAGCCATTAGGGATAATCCCCAGCCAGCTGCTCGGATCATCTGAGCTGGACCTGGAGACAGCTCTGCCCTTCTCAGCATGCCATCTGGAGTGAAACCCCAGCTGACTACATCTCGTCCTGACCCATCCACTTAACTAGGGTGTTAAAACATCACTTTGCAACATTACAGGCTTGGCAGCAGCTCATAGGCACAGTAAGCGTCCTACGTCCGAAACCAGATACTAGTAGGACAGGTCTATGAGAATGCAAGTTAAATAAACCTGGGACAACAAAAGCTAACAACAACAACAAAAAATCACCAGTGAAATAAGCAATTTTGGACATTTTAGGAGTGCAGGAATTTGTTTTTTTGTGAAATAAGGAAAGAAAAACAACCATCTAGAGCATACAGTACATACGTCTTGCACACTTTTCTAAGATTTTTTACCCTCATGAAAGCTTTCCATTTGTGAAACAAGATTTATCAATAACCACAGAAACTCTTTGTTAGGCTGCAAATCAAGCTTCGAGTGTCTTGTGTTCTAGAAATAAATTCATCTTATAATGGAATAGTACTTACGACTGATGAACACTGCAGTTGTAAAATACAAAGTCAACACTCGCAAACTTCTTCCCCGTTTCTTTTGACTTGAGGAACAGTTTCACCACCCGCTTATCACCTGTAGAGGCAAGAAACAGTGAAAAACAAATAAAATAATTGTGGAGAAATAATAACTGCATTTACACAGTACCTTTCATCCCACAGGACAGAAGTACATAATCAAAGGAAACTGCACAACACAAACGTGTTGAAAAACGTTTCACATGCTGGGAAAAATAGTGACAAGGGTCTTGATTCACAATATCTTTCAATCATGAAGAACTTGAGTCGATCTTATAATAGTTTGCTGCATTGGTGTTCATTAAATACAATCCTTATTGAGTGAAGCCTTTGTTACTTCAATACACTAAAGAGGGAAAATAGTAAAACAACCTATTGACACTGTCAGGGTTAGATGTCATTTGATGCAAGACTGGTATCAATTCATCAGATGTACTTTGCACAGCTGTTTGCAATGCTATCCCTCCCCTTGAGGCCTCAAAGGAAGTTAATGGGACCCACATTATACACTTGATAAACGGATGTGATAGAGAGACAGCCTTTCAATTAATAATGCTTCTACGAAGATATCCCCCCGAATATTTAATTTGTTAAGGTTATTTGGGCTGGGGAAAACAGGTTCACCTGTGAGGAGATGATTACTTGAAACACTGTCTGGATAAAAATCAAAAGTTGCAAATGAGGTCTGTCTGTTTTGATTCACTGTAATATTTGTCAGCATATATTCCTACTTCTTTTGGCAAAAGGAATGAAATGATACAGTAAGTGTAGAGGGCATACTATAATATCACCACCATTGCTATTTATGTATGCATTTTGCAGACACTTTTGGAAAAGGTGATGCACATTTGATGATAAAATTGCGATACTTATAAGAGTTAAGTATCTGTATAAGTTAATGATGGAATTGCAAGTCGCTTGATAAATATGCAATGTAATAATTACAGCACAAGTGCACTGAAATAATTTCTAGAAAGTCAAAAAGGTAGTAAGTCTAGCAAATAAAGTGCAGGATTATCACGTTCAATGCATGAAGAAAAAAATGGATATACATGTACTTCAAACTAAAAGCATAAAACCATATTGGGTTTTAAATAGAGTTACATTACATTATTATTAATACTTAAATATCGGATTTTAGTTTCCAGCGATAGAATAAAACCTAGACATACTGAATTTACTATGAGATACATTTTCAGTCTCAATTTGTTTTTTCACCCTAAGAATGCTTAACAGCTTTCCTTCTCTTGCACTTCGGCAGTTTTTCTTGATGAGGCTGTGCAGTATGTTCTTCCAGACGGTTTCTAGACTTCATAGACTAATTAGAGCAGCTCTGACCTTCTGTTCATCAAGGCAACGCTGTGTGCCTTAAATGATATGGATATCTGCATCTTAAGACTTGAAGGAAAAACAGCTTATTTCTAATTACACTTATCTGATTTGTGTATAAAAATGTTTACAGTCATAATGTCACAGCTCAGGATACAATTTACTGTGCAATGGGCTCAAACACTAGAATTTAATGAAGCTTTTCATGCAGACGACAGTACTTTTCCTCATGTAATTCTGTAAAGAATTCATCATCATACACAAACCAGGTTAATATACACATACAGTATAAATACATACACTACAGGCAGAAATCCAGTGTAAGAAAATGTATCTCAAGGAGCTCTGGACTTCCACGAATGAGCTACACCATGAAACCAAATAAAATGTCATCGTTGTTACAATTTGTTTTACTCAATGTGCAAACAAACAGGGAGACAGCACCTATCTCAACATCTTGTTCAGTGGCCTACTTAGCTAAATGTGTTCTCATTATATTCCACTGCTTACTGACTTTACCCAATGGAGGTAAGGCAGGTGAACTACTGGTTGCAATACGGTGGAGCTTTTAAAGAGTGTTTTATTTCTTAATGCATTTATTGTATGAGAAATTTCAGAATGTGCAAATGCTTTTTTACTGTTATGCACACATTATGATTATACATTAAATAAACGATTTAGAAACTGTTAAGCACTGCGACGAGTTTCTTCCGGATTCCAGATAGCTCTGCAGAAACTTGAGCGCACACACACACTCACCCTGGCCACGTGTGATAGGGATGACATCCTTTGCAGAGGGGGACAGACAGTAGATGTATCCGCCCTCAATCCGCCCCTCACTCTCTGTGAAGTCCTCAAAGGAGCAGTTGACACCAGCTGAGAGGTCAGGCACATTGCGTGCTTGTAGAACCAGCTATAAGAGGGCACAGAAAATCAGTTATTTCAACAGTGAGAATGACCTGCTTTGGCACAAGTAAAGATTTTTCAATAAACCTGAGAACAGCAGCAAACCCTTCTTTACAGAATGGTAGGCTATGGGTTTTTCTATTGTAGATAACATTCAGCCGCTTTTAAACTTGTGGTACTTAACTGTTCTATTTAGACAGCAAAATGTAACCCCCAACACCTGTCCGGCAGCCACACTCGCAATATATCCTAAACTACTATGATAACTTTATAAAAATAAGTAAACATTGATAAAGGACACATGGATTATCTTAATTATGTAAAACATATGCTTTGACAAATAGCTTATTTCTTAAAGGGTTCCTTTTTCAAGCTAAATTTAAAATTCCACTCCGATAATTGAATTCCAAATATGGATAAACTGTCTAACTTTTTCTATGACAAAACACAGAAAAGGGTTATTCAGTTTCACCTGCCAACTACACATTTTGAAAAGGTTAGAGAAGGGAACTGTGTCGGCATGCAAGCTGCAAGGCATCAAGAAGAGGTAAATTTCACTTCGAAAAGTAAAGAGAAAAAATTTCAGCTATTTGGACTTGTAGAGGCTAAATGGCTGAAATGTTTCTTTTTTCTGCCTGGAATTAACTTCAACTTGTTCCTTGGCAACTGGACATTTTATGTTTTATTAGTTTAACTGACACTGTTTTATTTTAAGGCAGCGTACAAATTCTGTTTTTGCTAAATAAAAAAAAAACAATCTTTAATACTGAACCATGATTATTTTTACTATCTCTTTTGTCAAATGCCGTTTCAACATTGCTGTCTTGCCGATTAAAATATGCTGATCAAACTGGCAGTAACTTTTTTTATCCAACTAACTTTTTCTATAAACTAATACCAGCTGATCAGTGGCCGTTGAGGACTGAACAAATGAAACCGCCACTAGAATAATGCCGTCAAAACCCTTCACATCAGGATATGTTCTTAAGTATGCTAGATATTAGTTTTCCTCTTATTCTGTTAGGAGAACTCTCTTCTTGAAGGCTAGCAATATCTGAAACTTCAGTATTAAATTAGGTATCTTTTCTTTTTACTGCTGCTGTGCATTGTTTCAAAAAGAATATCAACTGGTTATTTTTCATATTTTTATTACTGTTTCACAGACATAACTTAATTAGGCTGACATTGAAAAGACTCTTGTATTCTATCCCATAGCTTCCTTTCAAAGTTGTCTGCATGTCAGAAAACTCTGGTCTGTGTTGCCGAACTGTGATGTGCTTCTTAAGAAAAGCTTTGCTGGTAAAGATGCTCATGCGTCCTGCTTAAAGTCTGCAGTTGGCACATACAGCAATTCACAGCAGGTCATATTCAAAATAGTTTTGGAGATAGATGAGACTTCCAACCCAATATCAACTCTGCCTGAAGCAATGTTTATTCTCTTGCCCTCCCCACACTTTTTAGGTATTGTTCACACACTGTCATTGGCTCAGACACCTGTACCGAAGGGTGATGGGAACACACACACACCCTGAGGCTGGTGATGGATGCTAACCTGTACAAAACTATGGAAATGGAATGTGGTAGCACTGACCTGGACCTCAGACGTGGTGACCGAGATGTTCTTGGGCTGGACGCTGAGCTGGACGCACTGGCGCAGGTCTGAGGCAAAGCGCTGGGGCTCATCAGCCCGTTCGCACCTGTCCTTGCGGGAACAGCTGAAAGAGACAGAGGAGAAAGACTTCCTCAGGGAACAGGTTTAAAAATAAAAGGGGGGGGGGGGGCAGATCTGTACTCAACTCAGCTGGCCCCACTCAAGATTCATTTCATATTCTGGAGAACAGCACTTGTGTGCGTTTTCTTAAATAAGCTTGCTGGCAAAACATGATAATTGTCAAACCTTGAAAAAACACATTGACTTCAGAACATTGATATTAATAAGCATTTGGGAAACAACTCCTGCTGTTAGAAAATGTGTAACTTTGTACAGGAGTTTATAATAAATGTCAGAACAGACATTTCTGAATGCCAAGAACCTTCACATGATATCATTTATTACCTAGTGCTAATCTGGCTGGACACTGGGTCAAAATGTACATCATATTTATGAACGCTAGCGTCTACTACAAAATATGTGAATCAGTGGCTCATGCAAGGAAAATCCCCAAATAAGATGTGGAGCATGACAGATTTAAAATCACCATAGTCTATTGGTTTAATGATACCTGAATCAGTGGGTTCTTTAAGGAAAAGCAGAAATAAAGGTTTATATACTATATATTCTAATAGGAGACACAGATGCATGGGGCTTTCATTTCACCACACATATCAACTTCTCTCAGGGGGCTATGATAACCTTTCAGTCCTTCCAGCAAGCAGCTGAGTGAACAGAACATCTTCAATGAAATACCATCTCAGGGCTATTATAACACGTTATGCACAGAATTTAAGGAAAGCTGACGTCCACCGTTTTAAATAAAAATAATAAATATGCTTTTACGGTATTAAAATTGGCTGACTCTGCCATTTTCCCGACACAAAAGAAAAATGCCAACTATCCTGTCTTTCAGTCTCAATTTACTAAGTCAGCAAAAAAATGGCACTTTCCGGAGATTTCCCTTTATTTATTGTTATTGCAATAAATTCAAAGCTGCGGCAAAAACAGTGACAATTATCATTACTCATGTCATGGCATGAGACACCTGTGATTGTATTCTCTTTGAGCAATAGGCCTGTGGCTCTGAAATGAAGCCAGAAACATGGGGCAACAAAGACAACAGATGCTAGGCTTTACCTAAAAAAGACAGCAGATGACTGGACAGAAGTCCAAAATGACTTGGATTGGGAAGCCTTACTTAAGTTTGTACTCCATAACTGGGAAGCAGTTGGTGCCCCACCACCCCACAAAAACATTTCCATGCTATAGGTGTATCCAGGCAGGTGTAGAAAGTTCTACTCTTGTTAATATACACAACAAGCATTAAAGTACATCTGAAAACCAGGACCACAGTGGAACCACAGAAAAATGCAGATGTTCTCATTCTACATACTAAAGCTCTAGACGAATGAAAAGGAAGTGCAATTAGAACTGAGAAAAGAAGACACACCTTTACACAAAGGCAGAAACAGCAGAAATCATTGGTAGATCAACTGCTACTGTTAGATAAATACTGTAACAGTACCAAATAGGTAGGTGGGCCAGATGGCCTCCACTCGTTTGAAAACTTTGAACTCATGTTATTAACAAGGTTAAAGATGATGACCAAGGGAGGACTTAAAACAGTCTGCTTGAATTCATACTGATTGTCTTCCAATTCTGTGCTTCAAAATTAAAATACTGTAGCATTTTCAAATGAGGAATAATTTTGCTAACATTTGCAGAGGTATTTTAATTAACACACCTTAAATTAACTTACATTTTTACTCAAATAATTATGAGCAATTGAGATTTCTCCCCATCGAGCAATCAGTACAGATTGCTTCTTTCATTTAAAGAACTAAACCACCTCTGACTCACATATTTTAACCTGTTCTGTATATCTCAGCATAAACTGATCAATTAATGCTATGCTAAAGCACATTTATGATTCTTTTGTAGGTTCACAAAGAAAAAAAATAGAAAACTAGTTTTGCTATTAATGTTGATAACATAGCAATATGCTAAAAATGTAATTTCTGTCAGTGAAACTTTGAATGAACTACACAAAGGTTAATGAAGTTGGTTATTTCTGTGGAAACAAGAAACAAGTATCTAATTACAGAATACAAAAGACTAACTACATCTGTACCCAGTTCGGTAGCGACAAAACAAATTGCTTCCTTTATTTAAACTGGAGCATTAAGGGATAAAAGTTTGTTGTTGCACCAGAATAAAAACTACCCCTTGTGAATGCGACGGTACATTACAGGATGATGGAGGCAAAAAATGGAAGTCATTTTTTTCTTCACTTAAACATCCTTTTGGATTTTGTTTCTTGATCATCTTCAGAGAGCTAAAAAATCAGCAAGTCTAAAAAGTTTACCTGTAAATGCAAACACCGGGTGAGGAAACTTGTGTGAACAAGAGAATTTCAGCTTTGTTTGCCTGGAGGTACTCACATGTTGTGGAGGACACACCAGCCACAGTGTGGATCTTTGGAGCCCAGACATTCTCCACAGCTTGTGTACTGCTCACAGCTCTCCACTGGGACACGCCTGACCTGAGAGGGAAACAGCAGGTACTCGTTACACAACAGCCACACAGGTCAAAAAGTGGGTCAAAGAAAGACATTTACTGTAATGAAGCAAAACATTTTTAGAGTCCCTCCGTTATAAACTAAAGACCTTCTCAACATTCACTTTAATTTGTCCCTTTCATCACAAACAGAATCCCAGAGGTCTTCAAAAAGTAACCTCTGCTCAGCCAATGTGCATAAACTAGAAAGCAGCATTTTTTGGGATGTTATGTTACAAGTATACTGTAATTCGCACCATCTTCAACTAAGATAAAAAAAATGGCACAGGATGTGAAGAAAGTAACTAACTAAACCAGAATTAAAGTTTGGTCCAGAAGAGCACACAATCATATCACATAATCATGTTTTATAAAATCACCGCAAGATCACAAATTCTTAAAAAACTGAAGTCCAGGATTTTAAATTAGAGAGCTAGTCAAATTTAACTAATTTAACCGAGCAAAAAGTGTACAGATTTGATTCTTGAAATGTATGATCTGTGGTAAGATAGTGGCTTCAAAGAAGAAATAATGGAAATGATATCCTCTTATCCGAAATTATAACATGATATATAATATTATAATACTATAATGAAAAGGGTAAGGCTTCTGAAAAACAGCCTCCTTTCAGCACAAACATCATCCCCTGCATTTCAAACAATCGTAGAAAGCTTGCCGCCTCAAAAGCTTGCTTTGTATTCTGGCTGCTTTGCTTCCTTTGGGAAGCAGCCATTTTGCATGCTATCATATGGCCTCATCCTCAAGAAAGGACATTTTCATAAGATTTAATAAAGTTAAGGTACAGTGGGTTTTATACATCCTGCATCTCTTCTGTACATACTGATAAAAATGAGTAGAGATAATTTTATCCATCATCACAGTGACCAGACAGGAAGATACTGTATTTTTTGGAAAGAGGGTGGAGTTGGCGAGAGCCCAATAATGATATCTGAAAGTGATTAAAATTTTGAATTTCTATTATGTTTATTTGCAGAGTGCTTTTCTCCTTCATTTGCTCTCCTGAAGGTGACAGACTGGCAGCAAGACACACCACAGTTACAATCTTGGCATGAGTGCCACAAACGAACAGGGGCATTTTTTAATGTAAACCCAAAGCAAGCAGAGGCAGAAAGGAAATGATTCACCATGCAACACCAATGCCACTGAGCCAATGACAAATTTAAAAAGAAATGGAGTCAAGATGTAATTTTTACATTCTTCAGGGCCTGGATAAAATATATTTTCTCATTGTTTTATAAATTAGATTTATACTTGTGTTTTTCCATTTCTTTTAAGGTTAGTGTATTGTCTAAGGATTAGCATATCCCCAATACAACTGAGAAATATATTAATAGAGATCTAAATTGTCTTGTAAAATTGGCAAATTCTTAGCTTTAAAAGAATGTAGCAACTGTCTGTGAAGACTAGCATGACATTTTAATAATCCTTCCTTGTTCATGTGAATATAATTTACCCCCACACCAATTGTAATAAGGTGTATTCAGCATTACATTTTATTACATTTTTATTCATTACACTTAGCGGATTAGTTGCTTATTGAAATGTTGCAGTTTTCTACGTTCTTGGCAAATTTTAAAAGGCAATTTAGTATGGACAAAGTAAATCCCCCATAAAAAGTAATTTCAATATTAAAACATTTCCCAGTCGTAACTAATGCACTAATGCCTTAACTTCATTCTTAATAAAGAATAAAAACATCTTAGGGAAAATATCTTAAAAAGAAATCAATTTTAAAATGAAATGTTTAAACTGTGTAGAACCCAGTCAGGGGCCAACCTTTCTGCTTCATCTGTACAATGCAAACATTTCAACTTGTTTTTTCAGTCTACGGAGATATTCAGAAGCTATATCTTATACATCCTATCCTTGTACGGTATACAAGTGCAAAGGGTTGTAACACAGAAAAAATAATCTTGTAAGTTTCCTTTAGGGGGTGTTTCAAAAATACCCAATGAAACTGTGAAAATATTCAGCATGCACTACACAAAGCCGAAGAATAAGCAGTTTCAGACAACTTCAATGGAGCACGGAACTCTCTCAAACTGCAGTCGCCATTGTTTGACTTTGATTGCCATACTGCTGCACTTGTGATTAGTCTGGCAAGGCAATGTCATTTACTGTAATACAATATTCATTGACAATGCACCTCTGGATGCTGGCAGACAGCCCAATGCAGCTGAGAATACACCCGTGTTAGGAAATGCGCGTACCGGAAAGACTTTAGATCCCATCATTGCCTGGGGCATTTGGCTTCGCAGTCTGCATGCCTCCAGCAAAGCTCACAACATCCCCTCTTCAACCATCGGCCTGACCTCTAAAATCACTCGAAGTCAGCATCCAGCCAATCAAAGCAGGGCTTTGTTCATCCTGTTTAGACTCAACCTTTCAGAAAAGATTTTAAATCCTTGAATGCAGGTCTTCAAATGCTTTGACACTTGGCAATTGCTGGTTGCAGCACAAGCCAGTCTTAAGTAATTTCCAGCAATTTTTCTACTCCTTAACTTCATTGCAAGAATGTTAATGGAAACATAACATTATGTTACTCATGAAAAAAGTAAGCATGCAGCCTATCTCAACACTTTAGATAGATGAGGACTCTCAATCATTACAAAACATTACAATCGTTAGCAGTATAACAAATATATTCACTGTAAAAATTACAAAGTTATTTCACAGCATGCTATGCGCAGTACCCATTATATTAGTGAATTCCAAGTTAATTAAATGGGATTTCTTAAGTGTTAAAACACCCCATTTTGTCTAAAAAGATATTAGTCTTTTTTTTTCTTCAAGCTGAATCGTAGAACAGGTACTGGTCTATGCCTGTAGGCAATGTCTAAATATGTCTAAAGAAGAAGCAAAAGACACATTTAATCTTTAAATTACTATGCTGTGCAGTCCCTGAAGGAGGCTAATTATACAACAGGACATTTTATTTGAGGATGATACTTTTCCTCGACAAAGCTTTTCAACTGGCTGACCGCCAATAAACAATATACGGCTCATTTTAAGGGAGAGTAGCCCAGTGACCAACCCCACTGTTCCTCTCATATGGGCTTCTTTTGACATGACAGACAGCACAATTTCTCTGCACCCTTCTTAAAACCTAACGTTTTGTGAAACACCTGACTAGGTATCTCAAACCCTGAGTATAGATTCAAGGAAAAGAAAGCTCCTAATCCCTAATAAAAACACCCATAAAACTCCTTTTTTTATTTAGCTAACCACACTCAACACATATTAAAAATGAATTTTCAGAATGCTGCTATCATAATGTTAGTTTTTCACAAAATTTGAATGTATTAACAGCACATGCACAAGTGACAGAAATATAATTTCCTGTGAATAATCAATTATGGTCAGAAACAGGTCCAAGGGTCTCCAGTTCTGGCTCTGGAAGACCAGGGTTTTTTATGTTTTCAAGGTCCCTTTAAAACACCAACATCTAACATCTAAAGAGCTGGGAGAAGCTATTAAAAGCTGTTAAACAGGACCAATTAAGCCAATAACTAGGTGATTCCACTAAAAAGCCCAGACAGAGGGAAAACAGCGGCTAGACAGTCAACGATGCCTCAATCACTGAAAACCCAAGGAGGAAGAGGGCCAGATAACCCAGGCAGAAAGCTATAGCTTGGCCTGGGCAAACTAACAATTTCTAAATTCACATATCGCACAGGAGAATATCATATACTATATATGAGATTACAAGGCTACAATGCAGATATGCCATTATTTGCTACATTTGTGTATTTTAATCTTCTAATTAATTTACCATATGTTAAATCAACAATTACATAGTGTAGAATGCAAATATACATAAAACCACATTTGTTAAGTAAAATTGTGGTCACACAAAATATATTGCTGCTCTTTATTCAGTCCAGAAAAGAGTTATCCTGGTCTTAAAAGAAAGTCCTACAGTGACAGGCTAAAAGGAATGAACATTTTCACTCCTAGAAGGGAACATGATGGAAGTATTATGAATCCCAAAAGGCACTAACAATATTAAGTTTATGGAATATTCAGAAATAGATACACAAACCAGAAGCCACAAGTGGAGACTATGTGAAAGCACATTTATAACAGAATATGAAGCACTTCTTTATAAAAAGGGTTGTGTAAGTATGGAACAAATGACAAATTACTAATCCACGCTGTTCAAGACAATACCCTAGCTTCTTCCAAACAATCAGTGGATGAGATTCTCGAATCTATTAGCGACAGACTATGAAACAGAATAGATGGGACAAACAGCTTTCTTTCATTTCTTACTATAATTATGTTCTACATGATGCCAGTGGCTTTCTTTTTTGTGATGCATTGTTGTGGAGTAAATAAAAAAAATCCTCTCTTCCAGCTCAGTGTTACACCTGCTAACACATAGAAAGAACTAAAAGGAAATATCCCAAATGAATTCTAGTTTTTGAACTAGACAACTTACTTTATTTTCATGATATGTCTTGGTATTATAGCAACAGCATTAATGTAGCAAAGGTTTAATAATTCTAGCATTTAATACATTTTTTTTAGCTTATGTGCAGCTAATAACCTTTCTCCCTCAGACAAGGAATTATGGATCCAGGTGGCAACCCTATGAAGCAACTCAGGAAAAAATAAACAGATGTGATTAAATGTAATCAGAGCAAAATGAAACTATTTCTTAATACTAATTTGAGCGTGAAGGTTCTTTCATGTGCTAATAGTTGAAAGGTCTCCTAGCACTAATTATGGATCTTGGCACCAGTTAACATCGTAATCCCAACGAAAACAACTTTTGGAAATGTCATGCATCATTTTCCCGCAGTTTCAAAAGTTGAAAAATCTTTAGGTAACCCAACATACAACTGCAGTTCTCAAAGGACCAGTCTGATTAACTAAAAATGTTTGTTTAACGTAGACATTTTTTGACAGCCCAAAAATGTCACACACATTCTTTTATGAAAACCATATCAGGGAAAAAGAAAG